AGTTTGAATGATGCTTGGTACGTGTTTGGGAAAATGGAGGAAAGGGATTTGTTTTCTTGGAATGTTTTGATTGGTGGGTACGGGAAAAGGGGGTATTTTGATGAGGCGTTGGAGATGTATGGAAAAATGTTATGGGTTGGTGGGGTTGGGTTTAAGCCCGATGTGTATACTTTCCCAAGTGTGTTGAGGACATGTGGCGGTTTGGGGGATTGGAAACGGGGTAGGGAAATCCATGGTCATCTGATAAGATTTGGATTTGAGGCGGATGTGGACGTCATAAATGCTTTGATCACTATGTACGTGAAGTGTGGCGATGTGGGGAGTGCGAGGATGGTGTTTGATGGGATGTGCAGGAGGGATAGGATTTCATGGAATGCAATAATCTCGGGCTGTTTTGAGAATGGGGAGTGCGAGGAAGGGTTGAGGTTGTTCTTTTCAATGAGGGATTGTTGTTTTGAACCGGATTTGATGACCATGACTAGCGTGATTTCAGCGTGCGAGGTTGTTGGCAATGAAAGGCTAGGAAGGGCTGTTCATGGGTACGTGGCAAAGACGGGGTATGGGGATGATGATTCCGTGGATAACTCACTAATTCAGATGTACACTAGTTTTGGGAGTTGGGGTGAAGCGGAGAAAATTTTTGGTCGGATTGAGCATAGGGATGTTGTGTCCTGGACGGCTATGATTTCAGGTTACGAGGACAATGGGTTCCCTGACAAGGCTGTTGAAACTTATAAGATGATGGAACTAGAAGGTGTTATGCCTGATGAGATCACTATGGCTAGTGTTTTATCTGCATGCGCATCTTTAGGTCTTCTAGACATGGGCGTCAAGCTGCACGAGCTTGCCAAGAGGACAGGTCATATTACCTATGTTATTGTTGCAAACACACTCATTGATTTCTATTCTAAGTGCAAATGCATTGATAAGGCTTTGGAGGTCTTCCATCAGATTCCTGATAAAANACTCACTAATTCAGATGTACACGAGTTTGGGGAATTGGGGTGAAGCGGAAAAAATTTTTGGTCGGATTGAGCATAGGGATGTTGTGTCCTGGACGGCTATGATTTCAGGTTACGAGGACAATGGGTTCCCTGACAAGGCTGTTGAAACTTATAAGATGATGGAACTAGAAGGTGTTATGCCAGATGAGATCACTATGGCTAGTGTTTTATCTGCATGCGCATCTTTAGGTCTTCTAGACATGGGCGTCAAGCTGCACGAGCTTGCCAAGAGGACAGGTCATATAACCTATGTTATTGTTGCAAACACACTCATTGATTTCTATTCTAAGTGCAAATGCATTGATAAGGCTTTGGAAGTCTTCCATCAGATTCCTGATAAAA